GAGGCGGATTTCCCGCTTCTGGACCTCGGTGACCTTGAGGCGGATTTCTCGCTCCTGGACCTCGGTGACCTGGAGGCGGCTGATTTCTCGCTCCGGACGGAGCCGACGCTCGAGCGTCTCGAGCCGGACCCAGTCGGCGACGGGGACCGACTCTCCGACTTACGACTGCCGTCCAGCTTGTTCGACCCCATTGGACTGCGGCTGGTGGATCTCGAGGCGCGGCTGCCGCTAGCGTTCGACGCGGGTGAGGCCGGTGCGCCGTTCTCGTCCTCGGAGTGCTCGCTCCTGACATTGCTCGACGTCCGCACCGGCGCCTGCGACGCTCGGCTACCGCTGCGGCTCGATCTCGAGGACGCGGACGCGTTATCGGACTCCGAGCCTGAAAAACATAATCGCGAGATCAGAGCACCGTCCGTGGTGATGAGGTATAACCTCTCGAGTAAGAATATCGTTAAACAAATCGGTTTTGTTTAATACTGTAAATACAGAATGATATACCGATATTTTTCCAGAGTAATCCGCGAAGGAACGGTATAAATGATGTATTCGTTGATGTTACGTACCAGAATCGCCGCTGGAATCGCGTAAGGTTTCTCGTACCGGTGACATGTTTACCATGTGTTTGAGGTTCGCAACGAAACTGTTTTAAAACAGCTTCGAGCTGCTTGGAGAGAAACGGCTCGCACAAGATTCAGCAGCGCATACTGCACAGAAAGAAACGATACCGCAGCTAATCACCTTTCCTTATTTTTATTTTTGTGTTAACTTTTTTTTATTTTTAGGAAAAACAAGAGGCTTTAAGTGACGTGTCCCTTTGAACTTCCAATTCTTCCAAATCTTCGATCTTTTCTCTTTTAGGGATGCGCGATGTTGACCGATTAATCGAAACGTCCGATTTTATTATCGATTTTATCGATTATTATTGCCCGATGTTTTTGCAATCCGATATATCGATATTCGGTTTTTTTTTGTGAATATCGATTTTTTACATTCTTTTGATAAGCTAAGTTCATTTTTGCTATTAGTGCAAATAGTGTAATTGTTGGTTCGATCTAGAACTAAGAGCCAATCACGTTCGATTGCTACTGTCTGCGAAGCTGAAGCCAATCGAAGGCATCGAAGCTCGTCGAAGCGGCTAGTTATTTACTATTATTTGATACGCGTAATGGCTCCAGCATAGTCGCGACGCCAAGCGCAATGCGCGACGCGACGAGCGATATCCAATGAGTGTACAGTTTTTCCGGAAAAACAGTACGCTCATTGGATATCGCGCGTCGCGAATCGCGCTGGTGTGCTAGAGCCATTGGCCTAGTTTACACCGATCTCTTGATACGCGTATCAAATAGTATATTTGAACTGATCAGCCAATAATCAGACTTATTTACTAGTTATTTACTATTTAATACGCGTATCAAGTGATCGATGTAAACTAGGTCATAAACATGATACTGCGACCTGCGACCTGCGACACGCGAGAAATTTGAAATTTGAAGAAGCCACCCAGCAGTCTGCCGACCTTCTCTAGCTCTTAGCTCTAGACGGAAGACTCTCGAAGTCTCGAGACTCTCGAGAAGGAGAAGCTGGAGAAGCAGAGCAAGCAGGAAGCAGGACGTTGACGACGGAGAACGAGGAACCGACACCGCCGATTGATTGACGTCGAAGTGGTACCTCATTGCCCACGGCTAGATTCGCTTGTCGTGCACTCGGACGAGAACTTGAAAGATCAGAACCAGAATTCCATCAAATTCGAGGAAGAGGACAAGGATCTGTTTTACGTCGGTCCGGTCGAGCGTTAGGCACGCAGGATCCGTATGGACAACGCGTGCTGCAAATCGCGTCGATCCTACGAAACCTCAGCTTCACGCCGGAGAACCGGGAGAACGCGACGATATTAGGCAGAAACCGGTGTTTCCTGCGATTCGTGCTGCTGTGCGTGAGAGCGAGGTGGAACAATCTGCACAAATCTGCATCAGCTCGTCTTCGACATACTAGGGAACATTGCGAACGAAGTTATTTTAAAGGAGGCCGGAGAGGATAACAGACGTCGTCTTAACGTGCGTGGCCAAGGGGATCGAATCCTAGGACAGGTTTATCGTTATATCCTGCCTGGAGGTGCTCAACAAGATCAGTCAGCAAGACAGTAACGAAGAAATTGTCACATTTGGCCTGGCAGATAATGTTTATGAACTCATATGCAGATTTCTAGCTATAAGTGACGTAGCCCTCTTAGTGTATAGTCTGGAATGTCTGTACGCTTTAACGTCACTGGGTGCGTTAACCGAAAGTGAGTACATATCCTGATAATTTCTAAGTATATTAATTGATACATCGCAAAACGGTCGCCAATCGGGAATTACGGGTAGAATTATTCCGTTGCAACGAGGAACTGACGAGTGTTGCTGCTGCATACAAAAGTTTTTCCACCTCTATTTTGTGGATAGACATATACACGAAAATGTATGAAGACGAAGGCTCGGACGAAGGTAAGATGTGAATTAGTTATATTCTTTTTTAACAGATCTATTGCGAAGTAATTTGAAAATTCTAAGTTCACTTCAACAACTTATTGTCAAACTTATCTCTTTATATAAAACTTTTTATTGTCGGTCTGACTGGCAATAATTTAATAATTATAACAACGTTTCGACCTCTATTTTGGGTCCTTATCAAGCTAATGATAGATCAATGTTCGTCGAACATCATAACATTACGAGTCATCGTTAAACATTAACGGGGCAGTAAAACAGAATATAAACTTCGTGAGGCATGACCGTCACGTGTAGCGCCCGTGTAACGACGTCGTTCGACGCACATTGATCTATCATTATTCATTAGCTTGATAAGGACCCAAAATAGAGGTCAAAACGTTGTTATAATTATTAAATTATTGCCAGTCAGGCCGACAATAAAAAGTTTTATATTATTTTATCACTGGCGAAAGATTATTTTTGAATTATCTTTTTATCATTATCGAATTTGATTGAATTTGACAAGTCAAATTTAGTTTCATTTATCATTTCTTTTTATCCAACAGATCCTAAATATACGATTTATTTTCGTATTAACGAACAGCCTTCCTTCGCTGAAAGAGGATTGACCAGAAATAAATATCTTAATTTGAAATGTACGTGCTTTTTTCATGAATTTATATATAAAAATACAATTAATATGTTATCAAATATTTTTAACTGATTGTTATGTAATATTGAAATGATAATTTCAGATAATGACAAAGAGACTTGGGAGTTTATCCAAGAAATGTACTATCTAAAAGTTAAAGAGTGGAACCCTGCTGTCGATGTTTTGTACCGATCGATTGACGATATTGATTAGTAAGTTTATCAGAATAATTACTGCAACTGGCTTAGGATTTTCAATTCATTTTCTATAATTTCAAATTCCTTCCTTATTTTATTATAGCACACCATTGCCAACGCAACCACATGCTGGGAACAAGAGTCCCCTGGTTTCTCATGCATGTGACACAGAATCAGTGACGTCATGCAATGCAGTAAACTCTCATCACGAAGTACATCAAGTACATGATATATCAGCAGCAGGTCCATCTTCCAAGTCCAACAACGAATGTTCTAATGCCAATGTCGTGAATTCTAAAAGTCTTGAGAATGAAACGGAATTAGTTGTGGAGAGGAATAATTCAAGGTAAAAATTGCAATTAATTCATCTTTTATTTTTTTTGTTTCCTCATAGAGGACGCTTTATTTTCGTAAAAAAAATTAAAATGTTCGTATGTGTGCGTATGTGTGTGTGTATGTGCGGATCTACTTGCATATTTAAAAACTGAGGAAGCAATGTGCAAGTTTCTACTTACACATTTAAAAACTATCAGTTTTAATTTGATAAGCATAGTTATATTATTTACAGTATCAGGAAAAAAAGTTCTGTATGGGCCTATTTTAAAGACAAGGATGATAAAGGTGCTGTATGCATCATTTGCAATGTTAAAGTTAAGCATTGTGGTGGGACAACGAATTTAAAATCACATTTGTCCAGAAATCATCGATTATTGTGCTCTGATATATTAAAGCAAAACAGAGATACTACATCTGAATCTAGTAGTGAATCGACAGCTAGAGATGAAGATGATCCGCCGCTTAGACGAATAAAATTGGCATCAAAGGTAATGATAATGATTTTTAATAAGCCTACTACTTTTGATCGAAGTTTGATAACTTCGAAGCTTTGAAGGAACGAAGGAATCTTCGAAGGAACGAAGATTCGAAAAATCAAAGCTTTGACAGATTTCGAAGGAACGAAGCTTCGAAGGTTCGAAGTTTCAAAAAATGTGTTAAATCGTAAACTATCACATTTATATGCTTCATTTTTTCTACTTACTACACATCACAGACGCTGTAACTAGAAAAAATGAAGCATAAGTGTGATAGTTTACGATTTAACACATTTTTTTTTGAAACTTTAAACCTTCGATGCTTTGTTCCTTCGAAGATTCCTTCGTTCTTTCGAAAACCTTCGAAGCTTCGATTCTTCGAAACTTCGTTCCTTTAAAGCTTCGAAGCTTTGAAAAAGTAACAGTCCTAATTTTTAATACATAATAAAAAAATATATTAAAATTTGTTTCAGAAGAGCAAGTTACCCCGAATCGACGAAGCCTTTGAGAGGGCAAATTCTTTCGCAGGTTTGTAACAAATTTCAAACAATTAATAAGTAGGTTAGTCAAATGGTCGAATGCTCGTTTATCATTTTCAGAAGGAGGAGCACGGTCTGACAAAATTACTGCAGCACTAATGTTTATGATCGCCAAAGACAAAGAACCACTATCCATAGTTAATAAAGAAGGTTTCAAGGTTTTGATGAAAACAGTAGCTCCACTTTATCGTATACCTGATCAAAAGACTCTAACTAAATTAATGGATAATCGCTATGTTGAAGCAAAAGAATGTTAATCCACTCTTGAAAAAGCTTTGTCCTATACTTTAACATGTGATAATTGGACAGACTGTACTTTCCAAAGCTATCTGGGTGTCACCATTTATTACCTGTCTGAAGATCTTGTAATGAAAAATGGATGTTTGGGAGTCTTTCCGCTGCATACAAATCATACAGCAGAGTACCTCACGGAGTGTCTCAATTCTGTCATTGATGATTTTAAATTAGATCGAAAAAAAATTATGGCAATCACCAGTGATGGAGCAGCAAATATTAAAGCTGCTGTACATAATGTTGTAGGCTCTGAAAGACATATCTGGTGTTTTGCTCATTTTTTGTCTCATCTTGTACCTAAAATATTAAAGGATATGCCAGAGATCAACAATATTATTGCTACAGTAAAGAAAATTGTCGTGCTTATCAGAAGAAGTGTTGTGGCTACAGATGAGTTAAAACGGTTACAAATACTTGATGGAAAGACAGAGGGAACCGTCTTGAAATTTATTCTTGATGTTCCGACTCGCTGGAATTCCACTCTTTACATGTTAGAGAGATTTCTCGCTCTGGAGCAGTACGTTTATGCAGTTACTTTGAGATGCAAAAGATCAGACATTCCAGATATGTTAACTCATAGCCAAATTGAAGTCCTACAGGAAGTTGTGTCTCTCATGAAACCAATTGAATATGTCATTAAGGAAATCAGTGGCAGCAAATATCCTACTTGCAGTACTATTATACCAATCATTCACTGTATGACACTATCAATTGAACAAGTTAAACCTTCAACAAACAACGGAAGTTTTTTTCAGAAAAAGCTCCTTGAATCGATTCAAGATAAATTTAAAAATGTTGAAAATAATATGATTCTCGCGGTCCCTACAATACTTGATCCACGATTCAAACGAATCGATTTTCAAAATGCCCGTGCAGCAGCTGCTGCTGTGGAACGAATCAATAAAGAAATGAAATTGATTGGTGGGAAAAAAATTCAAGAAAAAAGATCTGCAGTTCAACAAGACTCTAATGAAACTATTTGGAAGGCTCATGACGATATGGTGGCAAAGAGTACTGATGAGAGTACGGAAGATGAACATCTTGCCCATGAATTAAGACAATATTTAAAGCAATCGGTAATTGCTCGACATTACGATCCATTTCAACATTGGAAATCCTTACAGAATTCGTTTCCAACGCTGTACGAACTGGCAATTCGATACATCAGTATTATTAGTACCTCTGTACCATCAGAAAGGAAATTTTCCGAGGCTGGTGACATCAAGAGCAATGAGAGAAATCGATTAACGGGTGAGCACTTGAATCGACTCTTATTTCTGGGATCTCTTTCAAAAGAAGAATGGAAATTGGAATGAAGAATTTTTCTGCATCTAGACTCTTATTATTCATTCCCAATTTTTTCATTTTACTTATATATATTACTTACCTTACTTATATAACTTAACTTACTTATATAACTTAACTTACTTACTTATATATATTACTGTTACCTTGACTTATATTCTTATTCTTATTATTCTCGGTTTATTTTTATACAATGTGCAATGTGTGCAATGTTTATTTTTATGCAATGTGCAATGTGTGCAATGTTTATTTTTATACAATGTGCAATGTGAACATTACATTTGCACTTCAGACATTTGTTGGTTTTTTTTAACAAAAAGATTGTACTATGTACTTATTCATTAGAAAGAAATACATACTGGCATAATTCTTTTTTTCCTTTATTCTGCTTTTTATATTGGTGACCTTGAATCTGCTGTTTGATTTTTTTATTTCAAATTGATGATTTTCTAAGTGAGTACGAGTCAAGTCAAGTATGAATTTTATCATGGGCACACTTACTTTCTCATGGACCTTAATTATACATATTCCCTTCTATGTATATATCATCGGAAATAATCAATTGTTTTTCTTTCCAGGACCACTTTCATTTACAAACGGCAGTCTCAAATCTACTACTACAAATTCAAATTATCTGAAGAAATATATGGTAAGATTGGTAAGAAAATGATAGAACAATAGACAAATAACAAAAAAAATTTCTAAAATATTTAAAATTGTTTAGCGATAAAAATAAAATGAACTTTATATCAAAAAGTTGATTTCTTTTCAAATACCATTTTATGTAGGTGTTAAATTAATACAGTGTTAAATTAACACTGTTAATATTAAAAAATTATAAAAATAATTTAGTTTTTTAAACGGTTCTCTTTTTTAGTTTTTGATTGCCGTTTGTAAATATTTAAAAAAAATATATATATAGAATCGATATATCGATTCTTCGATTTTTTTTAAATAATCGATATTTTATCGATATATCGATTCTCCGATTTTTTTTGCAATAATCGATTATTTAGTATCGATTTTTTTCGTTTTTATCGATTCTTTCGATATCGATTTTTTCTACAAAATCGCGCATCCCTTTTTCTTTTAAACGGTTATTATGTATATACCTATTTCATTTTAAGTGCAGAGAGTGCAGCAACGAGCGAGAAATCACAAATCGATGTTACACTTTTTTTTATGAATTTTGGAACACGCATCGTTATTGTAAATGATAAATGTATATAGCGTATATATATATAAATTGTTACTTATATACAAGTATAATTAATATAATTGATTATAATTTTACATTCAAAACAATATATAAATAAATAATTAGAGATTATATTATTACATATTTCAGTCATAAACATATATTTTCAGATACATATATATTAAATGTTTTAGTAATAAAATTCAAATCAGATAGGGAAAAAAGGATATACATAAATATATAAAATTTTTTAAATAACATAATTTATATTTGTAATAACATAAATACGTCTGTGCTAAGACCGTTTATATGTATAAATAATAATAATCGTAAACATTTTGCAGCATTGCACGATTTATAAATTGTATACTAAAACAAACACGCGCTATTGCATATTATTTCAACAAAGGTTTATAACATTTGATTAGCTTTGGAACAATATAAACATTTTTGAAACTCTCCAGTTGAATTACAATTAATTCGATATTTTATAATGCCCAACAAATATATCAATCATTTCTCGCATTTTTTCATTGTAGGATCGAATTTTTATCAGTCATCTTTCAAATTGATTTAATATGCTGTTAAAGAATTCTGCTTGTGTGTTTAATAAAAATAGAATAAATTATTTAAAAAAGTGTATCGAAGTAGATACTGATTTGAATAACAAGTATCTTTTGACAAGTATCAGAGAATTTCACCATCAACTCGGGAAATTTATATATTAGAATCTGGCTAGAATTAAATACTGAATCTTTTACTTTATACATTAAAATAATGAACTCAATACGGATTACAATCCTATTAATACGTTCTCTGCAATTCATATCACAAGATGGATAAAAAAAATTGAATAAATTTTAAGCGAGAAGCAATTCGGCATAATGTATACGTATATAATGATTTAGATTTAAAAGATCCATAATAGATGAAATACAGAGGCAGTAAAGTAGTTGAAGTCAACAAAATAGCTAATTGAAAGGAGAATTAAAATTATCCGAACATATTCTTGTCAAATTGCTTCTTTCTTTCTTGCTGAACGCTATATACTTAATCACAGATGTTCTCAAAAGTCGCTAGAAAGGCATATACTAATAATCAGCCGTGCGATAACAGTCCAAGTGTAAAATATATATCGTCAGTCACCTACTACAAATTTATTCGTAGTTTCTCAATTGAAAAAAGCGTCATCATGAAATAAATTGGACCCGCGAATCTATGAAATTATCTACATGTACGTATGATATTCATTCCATCTATGCTATCTATGTAATCGTACTTAGCAAGTACTAAGCTTATTTATATTTTGCTCGTTATAAATAATTGAGTATTCAGAATGGCTGTCCTAATAATATTCCACAATACTATAGTTTGAAAAGCTGAAGAGGCAATTGTACGCATATTACATTGTTTTCTTTTTATAGACAATTTTTATCAATTTTTAAAATATATTTATAACTAATATACATGTTTGTTTTGAGAGAATGGAAATTAAGGAAGAAAAGAACCATTTCTTATACATATTTTCACTCAAATCGAGTAAATAAAGATTAAACCTTCATTTACTCTGCACAGCAATCGTTCATTATGTAATTTGAAATTTATGCATGGAATTAACGGCTAGAGACTAGGGCTGATGATTTGCTTCGAAGCTTCGAAGACACCTTAAACTTCGAACTTGTGAAAAATAACAGCCCTATTAGAGACCAAGTAGGTGTGTTGTGTGGACTTGAAATATGATTTACTCTGAGTGTATAAAGATGCCTTATATGTAATTTTATAACAAATTCCCATTATACACCCAAAGACAATTATACATGTGTAAATATAATATACATCTATCTACAACACACAAAACTCCTATTTTTAGTTTACACGTTTTATCTATTATGCTTGCAGTTCTTGTAGCTTCTTACACGAAGGTGTTTCGAGATTTTTAGCTTTCATGAATAGATCTTGATCTCCCAAATTACGGGCTTTCCACATTATACCTTCCCCTATTAGAAAACAAATTTGAAATATCTTGAGAATGTTTACGATGGACATATTGAAAGAGATAAAAGAACCAAATACATACTGTAATTCCTTTCTCTGGCGCAGCTTTGCCTCAAATTACTCACGTACTCCTCTTCAATTGAAATTTCTAGCCTACGTAAACTCCCTTGATATTCACTATGAAAGTTCTCTTTAACATAATATTGAACTTTCAAAACTTGAGTTGTTCTGGCCACAGAATATTTCCTGCAAATGAGGAGGAAATCATTACGTATCTCATCCTGCGAAAATCTTTATTGACATTGGAATAATTACACAGTACAAATTTTCAAAAATTTCTCAAGTTTTTTGACCGAGGATGTATATATGCTATACTGGAATGCGAACTCTACTCTAGAAGCGAGATGAATTTTGTTTCCAATCCGACCTTTTTTATTGCTGTACTTTTCGAGAATAACGGAATATCATTGACCGCAATCAAAAGTCCGCTAAACAGACACAGAAATGGAAACAAAGCAACCCATCCTTTTCTTCTTGGTGCCCGGACGTTAGCAGGGAAGCTCGCATTCCGGGACACGTGGAACTTTTCGAAATGGATTCCGATCGGAATTGTTTAGTTGTTTCCTACATTTCTATTGTGTTTTCTAGGGAAAACAGAATAATTTCGATCGGAATTCATTCCGAAAAGTTCCGTAATACGTGCCCAGGAGATTGAGCTGAATTTTCCCCAGTTAAAAAACTTGAAAAATTATGGGACGTGTTGTATGTACAGTGTTACTCGTGAGTTATACTTACGAACTCGAGTGCAGACTGTATACCGGGTCGGATATGAAAAAACTGCTCATCATGGTTAACAATATTAATAACAGAACTGGCAACAGCTGAAGAAATGACGTATATCCATTTGCTTGCTGAAAAATATTGTTGGATTTAAAAAAAAAGAAAGAAAAAAAGAACAGTACTTTGAAATTGGGCTTAACGCCTTTCTGCTCTACCTGATTATGAGCATGTTGCGCTTGTGCCTCTGACTGCCGCATCCATCTCCCACCTGGTCGACGCATATAGAATTCTTGTTGCGGGAAGCCAACGCCGAAAAACATGTTGAATAACTCTTCGGCTGTGATATCGGCTAAAGAGATATTATAGATTATATTTTGATACATGAGAGAACTTGTACGATATTCTCACGACACACGTCTCCACTTTCAACACTCTCTCTAACCTTCAAATCCACGGGTATAGTTATAATGTGTATGGCCTTGGCGGGTGTGCACGTTCTGCATTCGTTCTTCTTCAGGACCGTACGTGTCGTACTGTTTCCGTTTCTCCGTGTCAGTAAGAATAGCAACCGCATTACCAATAGCTGCATAAAAGATTTCTCGCATAAAGTCAAGTAAATTTGCAATAGCAAACCTAATTTCACTTTTTTCCCCACTATCTCGACATACCCTTAAAAGCTTCGGCGGCGCCTGGCGCTTTATTCTTGTCAGGATGTAATTGAAGCGCTAATTTCTTGTAAGCCTTCTTAATGTCGCTGTCCGCAGCGTCTTTGCTGACTCCCAAAATCTCGTAATAATCCTTGCATTTTTTAATCCTACAATAACCAAACAAAAAGAAACATATTTATCCAAGATAATTAAATAAATAAAATACAAATTGATAACAGCATTGTATTCTCAAGTAATCAAAACAACCTCGAAACACCTACCTCTTCACGTGCTCCAGCTGCTCTTTCGAATATTCAGAGTTACTATGGGAATGTGTTCCATCTTTGGCTACATTTTGTCGCTTTCTAACGTTAGGCTCAGCCGACTCCGATTTCTGATTCTGCTTGGTGAGTACCGTCACGTCCGCCAGCAGGTCTATAAATACAAATTATTTGATTCCTGTAACCATCAGTACTCTGACTAAGAGAAGAAAGGTGCGTTCTCGTAAAATGTGAGCCTGAAAGCCTTTTATTTCGCCTGAGTACACGTGGCTGATGCAAAGTCAACAAAGAAGCCAAGATTCGACGCTGTGCTTTGAACGGAGTGGAGAGATCGTGAGCTGACAACACGTACCCTCGGCTCT